TGCAGATATTGCGGTCGCTGCATGACGACATTGGCCACTGGGACGCTACAGCTACGAAGCAGTTCGTCCTTGACAGGTACTGGTGGCCGGGAGTTCATGGTGATATCTATGCCTACGTTCGTGGATGTGAAGGCTGCCAAAAGGCTGCGCCCATCCCGACGTACAAGAGCACGGCGGTGATACCAGTCTCTCAGCTCTTTGAGACATTCTCGATAGACTTTGCGGGACCCCTTCCCAAGACGAAGAACGGAAAACGTTACATCCTGATAGCGGTCGAACATCTGACTGGTTGGCCGCTGGCTTGGGCAACCGAGACCGCTACGTCTGCGGAAGTTGTAAAGTTCGTGAAGGAGGAGATCATCCATTCTTTTGGTCCACCTCGGACTATAGTCTCAGATAACGCAACATGTTTCAGCGCAACAGCGTTGAAGAACTTCATGGCACAACAGGGAATTTCATGGAAACCGGTCCTCGCCTATGCTCCCATGTCCAACGGAAAAGCGGAGCGTATGGTTGGGACCATCAAGCGTTCAATTCGGAAGACGCTATTAGGTCAGGGCGCCGCTACCTCTAAATGGGAATCGGCGTTGAAACAGATTCTCTACCGTCGGCGCCGACTGTCCGACGGGTTCTCCCCGTTCGAGTTGATGTATGGAGTTAAGCCGCCCTTGCAACCCCAGACCGAGTCGAACCAAATCCGGTGGGGCGGCGTTGAGAGGCGCAACTTGGAACTGTTAGCGACCCTCGCGCTCCGAGCGACGAGGACTGCTAAACAGCTGGAAAGGAAGAGCAAGAAGATGGCAGTTATCTCACAACGCCAATTTGACGTAGGCGACCAGGTTCTGGTTGCCCGAGGAACAGCCTTGGGAGGGCTACGGAAGTGGCCTTTAGGAGAATCGAAGTACTACGGCCCCTGCAGGGTAGTACGGGCAAAGCACCCGCGGTACACACTCGTGTCGCCAGGTTTGCGCTACAGTCGACGGGATATCCACGCAAGGCGTCTAATCCCCTTTATTCAGAAACCCGCACATCTTATGTAGATGTGATGCATGGGGGAATTGCCCCATGGACTGGTGCGGGGATGACTACGAGGAGTAGGAGGACAGAGACGAGGTAGTTGAGAAACTTCGCTGGGATTGGACTCTCCGTGCGTTTTAAAGTCTGTGAGAAGAGTTGTTGAGGGTTACGGAAAGAGTCGAAATGAGACATCAACGGGAGTCAAGGTTGTCGGATGGAGAGGGGGCAATGTGCATTCTAGCGGAATGAGGAAAGAAGAGGCCGTTCGATCAACTAACATCGATGCTATAGGAGTTACTGTGACGCAAGGGCTGGCATTGTGAGCTGTGAAGGCGGCGGAATGGTCGGAACGACTACCGAAGACGTCTACATGCAAAGTGCGTCGGTTTATATGCGGCTGAGAGACACTGGAACTACGGCAGCGTATGATTCAAATGGATTAGTGCATAATTCATGCGTGAGCTGGTGAATCTCTGACCGCATGCCTTGCATGCGAGCCACAGGTCGTAGGCTTGATCCGTTGATGCGACCGTCACGTAAATGACGAGTTTGTCGAGTCAAAGGGCGATGAAAGCATGCCCAACTTGTTTCTCGATCTGGTTCCGGAAAGATTTCTTGGAAGTCAGGCCTGGGAGTAGCCGTTGAGGATAGTAAGTCGTCTTGGTCCACGAAAAATGACGTAATCCACTCGAGGTTACAGTTTGCCAGATATCATAAGACGGTGCTTGCTCAATTCTCCGCAACGGGACGAACGCAGCCGAAGGCTCCGGCGACGCCGAACCCACGCGGCCTGAGGCAAAGGCGATGCGAGACGAACGCAGGCCGCCTTGCTACCCAGCGCAAGATGTTGGACTTTCTCGCCAGTGGAATCCCTCGCCGTCTGCTTGGTCCGAGCCATGTCGGACAGAGAGTACTGCCCGAAGGACAACAGACCTCTCATGCGTGGCTCGGAACGCGGCGCGTTTTAACGAAGTCCCGAAACGGGAACAACCAGAAACGGAGGCTCAGGCGACGCGGAGACCACGGGGCCTGAGGCTCAGACGGCGTGGGACGGTTAACGGCCGGAGGCCCGGGCGACGCGGAGACCACGCGACCCGGGGCGACGGTGACGCTGACCGCGAAAACTACAAGTTCGGGCGACGCGGAGACCACACCGCCCGAAGTTGAGGTTGAAGTGCCAAAGGCAGCGCGAGAAAGAAGCGATGCGGGCGTAGTCGGTGCGGTGGAAGGAGGAGAGATGGTGGCCGGGGGGGCCAGAGCGGTTACGCGAGGAAGCGAGGCCAGTATATTTACGTGCAACGGCAGCTCCGTGGTCTGCTCTGACGAGGGGGTCATGTGAGATATTTTTAGGGAAAAATTGCATTTTACTATAGAGGGAGATTTTATTCTGTAGTCCGAGATTTTATTTGAATTTTAGAGAAGCGCACGCGTACGGCCCGGCGGAATCCGGGCCGGACGCGTGGACGCTTCTGGAAGGAATTTCGTAGAAATAAAAGAGAGAGGGTGACGGGCGCTGCGGGGAAAGGGGGGACACTCGGCCAATCCTCACCACGGAACGGCACGCTCCCCAAAACCGCCTCCCCCATTTCACCACCAACATACAGTATATACAGGGGGGACCATAACCTGTGGTAAAAGGGAGTGCCCCCTGGCCAGGAGACAGGTGGGGGGGGGGGGGGGGGGGGGGGGTACACAGTATATGTAGTAGCGAAATCCAACAGTGGAAGGGGGGGAGGTCGCGATACAGTGCTACCCTTTGTCAGTGTGCCGAAAACGGCACTATATCGAACCAGGCGCTGTAAGATAATGAGATTTACGGCTTTATTGCAGCCATTTCCTCGCATCACTGCTCAGAAAGACCGCTCGCACGACGCCATCACTCATACTTTGCATCTTCACTACAGACTCAAGTCTAATCAAGCATTTCTGTTATTAGTAGCTCCGAGCCTTTGCATTGACTTCCCCCTTTTCACAGCCATAAATGCCAGCCTACACTTTTGCAGATGTCCAATTGCATCATCGACCCTGCCTTTTCCCGCCATAGTCTCTATTCGAGTTGGCAACTGCACAATATCTTTCCGCGGCGGCAGTGGCTCTCGGGCAGTACGTCCATCCAACTGACCCGTTTGGAGACCCTTCGTTTTTGGCTCAAAATTCGTGCCACCTGCATAAGGGTAGCATTATATCGGAGCTGGCACTAATAAAGATGACACTATATCGCGACCCCCCCTGTATATACATACTTTCCAGCCGGTGGATGTGAAGTGCAGTTCGCACCGATCGCGTGAAAAAAATTTACATCGCCTTCGAGAAAACTCATTTGCGTCATCAGTGTTTCTCCCTTTGGATGGATCCGCTCTTGTTCTTTCTGACGGTAACCGACTTTGAGCAGCAGTCCTCTCTCTGCTACCTTCATAATTCAATGCAACTTCACAAAAGAAGGACGCGTAGCCTTGCCCCGCACCGGCCATCAACACGCACACTCACTCACGTCGGGTACGTCGCATGACGGTATGTTCGGCTGTAAGCAAAGCTGAATGCCGGCCAGGCTGGTGAAAACAACGGTAATGCATCAAATACAAACTGCGGCTTGTCGCGAAATCAAATCCACATCCGCTTCCGTCACTACTCGTCCGCCTCCCAAAACTGCGATCTCCGCCCACACCGCGGATTGGCGCCAGCGCCTGGCGATCACCCAAGTAACACAATTTCATCCATTAGTTGTTCAGTTCCCCTCAAATGCAACAATTTTATCCTCCAAACCAGCCTTGTAGCAGGCCCTAACCATGCCATCCTGATCCAAACCAAACTTTCCGTATAAGCCCCTGCATACCTGAGCAAATCCGTCACATGCGTCTCGTGAACCCCAAACCGCTCTGCCACTCGGCACGGCCCCTACCTGTGCGGGTCATTCCTGCGCATCTTGAAGACGGCGAGGACCCGGTCCTGCAACAGCCTCCGGAGCGAGCCCGTGCGAGGTGAGGGGCGCAGAAAGCTGTCTGTGGAAAAGGCGGCCGCGAAGATCGGCGGTACACGGGTTTCTACAAGAGCCGCCGAGGATCAGTGTCCACACGTGTCAGAACGATCTGAGGTGTACACGTGGACACTTTCATGGGCGACAGAACAGGTCGTACACGTGGCCCTGCCAACCCTCTGATTCCAGGTCTACCATACAGTGTATCGATGAACCGAGCAAGTGTCTGCAAACAAATGCTTGCACCAACGTTGAGAACCGCCATACACCAGAATCGAACGGTAACATGCGCTTACCCGGCTGCTCTCGTCTTTTACACCTTCTGAAAATGAACTGAGGAGGGAGAACTTTTCGCATTGTAGCTGGTTACTGGGAGAAGGAAGGATAGGTGCAAGTTGGCAGAGTGAAGCATGTTCAATATGTAGCAGCAATACAGAGTAGGGAAATGTTGTAAAAAGAACGATGCCCCGGTTTCATGATGGGTAAAATGAAAGCACGACAGCTGTGGAATGCTACACAGGTCGGTTTTGCAGTCCACGGTTTTCTTCCTTAACGCCTCCCCAACAGGTACACACGCCTCGTCAATAAACAGTCACAAGGAAAACTTCCCTGTTACAACATATACGATATCATCAACATTGACAGCAATCCTTCCATTCGAGCGAATCGCACGACCAGCCGTCGACAAGGAGGACTATGGCACTGTTGTCTTTGCGTGGCTTCAATTCTGCCTCCTCTTTTCTCCACACCAAACGCCCAAGTCAATAACTATCAATGCACGAGGGATGCGTCCTTGGAAACGATCTGGTATGTGAATATTCATGAAAGATATGAGAGACATCAGGGCCTTACTAACACACAAGATGTTCAACATAAATACACAGTTTGTTTAACACCAATAAATACATTCACGGGCACCGCGCCCTATCGAAGGGCACGACGGTAAGCTTTCAGAGCTATCGTTTCTATCTATTATATTGTATCACGTGTACACTTCTTTGACGTTTTCTCAAGCCATTTCATCCCCGGTAGTAGGTGCGTTAGCAGCCGCTGCACTTGCCACCCCACCTAGAGAGCTGTCCTTAACAACAAATATTGCTAGCACCACAACCCCTACAACCCCAAGGCACACCAACCCGATCGTACCTCCAATATTACTTCCCTTCTCCTCCGAATCCTCGACACTCGCCGTCCTCAAGTCCAAAAGCTGTGGGCTCATCAGCATTCCGGTCCAAAGAATGTCTCTAAATCCTTGGTCTTGAAGGGCGTACACAATTCTTTGAGACATGACGTAGTCCATGTAGGACCCTGCTGCCAGATCCACAGACGCCGGTTTCATGTATGCCACCACTGCAAATATCACAGATCCTCGATACAGCTCCGCTGCTTTCGCTGTTGCCGATGGCGATGGGCTGCCCGTTTCATTCACGCTTCCAAACTCGTCGGGCTCAACAATCGTCACCAGCGAAAACTGTCCACTGTAAACAGCTGGTCCATCCTCAACTCGGGTGACGTACCATTGCCTCGCATTCGATTGCGTATTCGCGGCACTGAAATTGATAAACCTCTCCAACACCCTCTCCGTCAGCCCACAAGTATTCGTTACGTTCGGGCCGGCCACCTGAATTTGCATCGACACCCTTTGATAATTGTTTGTGTGGTTGAGCTCTCGCATGTCATGGACCAGGCCGTAATCCGCACACGGAAACAAGGGAACATATTCTTCGCTCGGCACCGGCGACCAGACTGCCACTCCCTCCGGCGTTCCCAGTATCTGCGCTTCCGGAGATGATCCTGGGTCTTCTTCGTCAGTCGCTTTCACAAGATTGGGAACGTCGACTTCAGATGACGGGGCAACGGGAGTCGGTGGGTCGGAAGATAAATCAGGCGAGTCGTCAACATCTGCAGGTCGGCTCGGAGAAACTGGTGAAGCTGAGATGGAAACCTGCGCTGCAGCTGGTGATACACTCGGTCCTATTGGGTTGAAACTCGTTGATGGAATAGATGTCCTCGTGGGTAGCATTGTGACCATACTTAACGTAGGCGTTGCTGTTATCGTGGGTAGTATGCTGTTGATACTCGAGGAAGGTATCGGTGTCTGGGTCGGTACGATTTCGGTTCCGCTTGGTAAAGGCGTAGGATTCCCGGTTGCAAGGGTTTCCGAAACACTTGAAGAAGGGATCGGTGTTTGAGTCGGTAGGTTTTCATCGAAACTTGATGAAGGCGCTGGTTTTGGTGTTGGTGTTGGTGTTGGCGTTAGTGTTGGCGTTGGTGTTGGTGTTGGTATTGGTGTTGGTGTCCTGATCGGTGGGGCTTCATTGACACTTGATGAAGGAGTAGGCGTCCGTGTCGGCGAGAAGTCGTTCACACTTGATAGGGGTGTTGGGGTCTCGGTCGGTACAATTGCAACAACGCTTGATGACGGCAGCGGTGCCCCAGTCGGTGACAGTAGTGGGCTACCAGTAAACAACGGTAGCGGAGTCCGTGATGCCTCCACAGCGCTGACACTTGTCGACTGCCTTGGTGTCTCTGGTGGCTCTCGCTGAGCAGAAGTGACGGAGACGCCGGGCGCCGAAGCCGCAGGTATAGAAATCTCAACGTTCGAAGGGCTTCCCGTCGCACCTCCAGGTGTCGAGCTCGAATCCGGATTGGGACTTGAAATCAAGCTTCTCCCCGGTACTAACGACGGTGTCGCCGACGGCACCACCTCTATGACCTTCGAAGTTGAGGAGCTCGGGCTTGTTTGTGAAATTGATTCCCCAGGTCTTCCTGACCCACGAGGTATCGCGCTGGTCGTCACCGTTTCTTCTAAAACTGTGACTGTGACGGTAGGGCTGACAAATGGCGATGCGCTGGTCGGTGCTAATGATACCAAATTGCCAGGTATCAGAGGGGTAGCTAGACCATCCAGGCCATCTAGACCATCCGATTCTTCACCGGAAGGTAGCAGATCATCGCTATATTCAACAGTCACGCTGGGAGCTGTAATCCATGGCTCTGACACAGAAGGAGACTCAAATACTCCCTCAAACCCACGCGGGCTGCGTTCTGGCATCACCTCAGGCGAAACCGTCATTTCAAAAACTTCAGGACTCACACCATTCGTGAGCTCCGCTGACGCTCCCGGACGCGGTGATCTTGGTAACGATACGCTGGCCCGAGGCTTCTCTGCCGGACTCACCGTGAGTGAAGGCCTAAAGCTGCTGCTTGGAGACAACGTCGGCAAAGGCATAGGACCGACCGGAGACACTTCCAGTTGCACCAGGCTCGACGGTTGTGGTCCTGTTGCAATGCTTGGACTTGGTCTTGGAAGTGCCGTATCCACTACAAGCTGCGATGCCAAGGCCTCACCCGAAAAAGGGGCCATGTCCGTTGGCTCGATCTCCGTAGGTTCATCAGACGGTGGCTTCTCATCCCGGCCGTCGCCGTTGTCCAAACTCGAGGCCTCAGCACTCGCTCCAATCGATTCGTCGGCCTCTGTTTCTTCAGGACGAGGATTCCTGGACTGCCGAGGGCTTGCCTTCAACATACCCGGTAGAGATGCCATCATCAGTTCGGGTGTCGCCGAAGCATCCATTCCGTCATCCAGGGACACAGCAGGACTGTCCATGCCTTCCATATCACTCGATTCAGCACCGCGCGATTCCTCCACTTCGTCTATCGGAACGTCTACCGGAAACGGTAGTTCCGACGGTTGCGGTTTGAAAGAAGCGTCCAGACTGCTCCCCCCCCCAGGCATGAATTCTTGTGACACCCTCGGTTCCTTCGATGGTCGCCGACTTGCCTCCATTCCTGGAGTCCCCTCCCCAATGACTTCTTCTCTGTCTCCATCAGATTCCGGTCTTCCATTTCCGCTCGCCCCTGCCACTGAAGGCGAAACCACCACAACTGAATCTCGCGATGCCTCCGCGAGCGCACTTGCCCCTATCTCAAATACAGAGCTTTCTTTATTCATGGAAGCCGACAGTGATGCCGGACTTCCTTTGGCTAGAAACGATGGCATGGACGATGCCACAGGCTCGAACACTCCCCCTGAAATCACCCCAGTTGAAGATGGAAACTCTTCAGATGGCATGGGCGATGGCATGGACGATGCCACAGGCTCGAACACTCCCCCTGAAATCACCTCAGTTGAAGATGGAAACTCTTCAGATGGCATGGGCGATGGCATGGACGATGCCACAGGCTCGAACACTCCCCCTGAAACCACCCCAGTTGAAGATGGAAACTCTTCAGAAGCAGCCGTTGTTGGTGTCGTCGAAACGGACACAGTCGGAAGCACAGATGCTTCTACTACCGTTGAAGGTTCTGCTGAAACGATCACACCTCCACTCGGGACCTTTTCCACCCCCGTCTCAACAGGCGCAGTAATAATCGGCGAAACCACTTGGGTTGTCCCAGATGGCATAACAGAAGTGGATAAAACTGGAAGCCTCGATGGCGCGGGTTCCAAGAGTGATTCTGCAGACGGTGCGACACTCATGTCCACTATTTCCATATCCAATTCAACAGAGGTGGCGGGAGGTTGCACTGCCAATGATGACGGTGATCCAAGCGGGGATGGCGTAGCAGAAATAAAGATCACGGGCAACGCCGTGGGCATCACTTCCCCAGGCAACAACTGTGACGGGGCTGGGCCTTCATCCGACGTCTCAGGTTCTATTCCAGAAGCGAGAATCGCAGTCGGAGAAATCAGCTGCACGAAGTGGGACGGTATGGCGGACGGTGTGGCCGAGATGAGGGGCACCAAAACGCTTCCCGAAGACGCTGCACTCACGGAAGGAACCGTAGCAGTAGGCGACGGCGTACTCGAGATCAATGGCACGAAGATGCTCCCCGTCACCAGCGGGCTCACCGATACCAGCGGGCTCACCGATACCTGCGAGCCAGAGGATGTCGATGGAGTGGCGGAAATCAGAGGCAGCAGAATACTGCCCGAAGCTTGAGGACTGACAGACGAACCAAACGCCGGAGAGACCGACGGCGTCTCTGAAGTAACCGGCAACAGAACACTTGCACTTGCCACCGCACTTGCTGACGGCGAGCTGGCACCTGAGCTGATGGAGGCACTACCAATCGGTACCTGACTTGCGCTGATAGATGCAGGGGCACTCACGCTTGGTACAGTGCTCTCACTCGGACTCGGCAGTGAAGGTGTAACGCTAGGTGATAGCGCGGAATCATCACACACAAGAGGGTCTGCATCGACTCCATCATTAATGACGCCTCCGATGTCGACACGTTGACTTGACAGGACCTGTACTACGTTGGCGCGATCCTCGGACACAGTGCTAGCGGCGTCCGATTTTCTCACGTCCACAAAGTCTCCAGATTCCTTGTTCAACACCCATACAAAAATGTCCGTCAGCCCATTGTCCGACTCGGCTTCGACCTGGAACGTTTGCGACGTCTGTGAGTCAACAACTTCAAAGCTAGAATCGAAGGCTCCGACGACGACGAGATGCATGGACACAGGATCAATGGTGATGTCATTTCCCGACTGGCTGCTGCCGGTGCTGCCTAGTTGACGGACCCAGGTGGCGGCAGTTGGGGACGTGGTCAAAGCATCATACCTGATGACGTAGGCGTGGAGCTCCGAACTGACCATCCCGACGAGATCAGTATTCCCAAGGATGTTTGTTGAGCTCGAACCGACAACAAAAAACGAGCCTGTGGCATCAGAAGTAAAGCCGTTCGTCTGGAAGCTGCCAAACACATTACCCCATTCGGCCTGGGCCGTGACTGCTTTGGTGGACAAGTCGTACCGCCAAAGGATACCCCTGCCCAGAATATGCCCCACGGCGACAATCGAGTCTGTGGCCGAATCGTGAGCAAAATCCAGCAACTTGGGACCTCCGGTAACACTTAAGAGCTCAGTCGTAGTCACGGCGATCGAGTGGATGGCATCAACAACGAGAGTAGAGGGGTTGACCTCCAACAACCGTGTCTCAAAAACAGCGGTTTGGTCGAGATTGGTGACCGACCCCAGGACAGCGACAAGAAGCGTCCCATCTGGCTTTTGCGCGAGCGACGTAGCAACATTGTCAAAGCCTTCCGGCTCATCGTACTGTGCCTGACGGATGACCGAGCCGTCAGTAGGGCTGTATACAAGGACGGCAGCATCGAGATTAGGCAGCTCCTGTGCCGGAAACTCGAAATTGCCCCTGGTGGAACCAACAGCATAAATGGTGGCTTCGGTGCCCATAATGACGTCGTACAAGATCTCTTCATTGCGATCGTTATCATCGTCGCCTGTGGTGGATCCAGCTGAGCTTTTCCAGACGAAGCCGCACAAACTGTCCCTCTTCCCAATGTAGAAATTGGAGCCCTGATTTCCCACATAGTACGAGTTTTCGTCGTTATCCTTGGTGACGGCAAAGACCTCTGTAAAGGCGTGGGTCTGCGTCATGAAGAGTATGAAGAGCAGAGCCAAGGCGACCAAGCATCGAGCGTTCATGAAGAAGGAGTTCATGGTGTCGAAGAGCGATGTGAGTGTTTCGCAAACGTAAAGAGAAAGGAAGGCGGGTGGTAAACGTGAAAACGAGAAAGCAAGAGTAGAAAGCGATTATCGGAAGCAAACGGGGCAAGCCAGAAATCCGGGATCGCGTTGGCGGCCATGGTGAATGGTATTTAAGTGAATGCGGGGAAGCGAGCTGCCAGTGTGTGCTGTTTCGCCAGTGTTAGGAACGTCAGTGCAATTGAATCGGGGCCCACGTCAGGCAGCGGTCAGGCAGCGGGCGAGCGAATCGAGGGGAAAGAAGTGCGTGACAGGGACGGAAGGCGGGGGGCGAGGCGGGGGGCGAGGCGGGGGCCGGAGGCGGGGCATTGTCAGCAAGTGGGGAGCGGAGGTGGAGGGCAGGGACGAATTCGAAGACGGAGGAGCACGGTCGAGAAAGTGCGGCGTGCGGCGATTGATGAAGATGATGCGGAAGGCGCCGAGAATCTGGGGGTGTGGGAGATCGACGGCCTCGCTGACACCGCCAATTGTTGTTGCTCAATGTCGGTTGACGGATGAAGCGGCGCAGTGGGCAGCCCCCTATTGGTGCGTTGTGCGAGCATGCAAATCTCTGAAACAGCTTTCCGAGTAATTTACTGTAGCTCAAAGAAAAAACTCCCTCCACCCTTCTTTTTTTTTTTTCATCCACTCCCTTCCACCCTCCGCAAGCCACAAACGACAGTGAGCTGCGGCGTAAAAACAAACTCCATCCCCCCTGCCCTCTACTCCACGGCTGGAGCTACCCCCCAAAACCCCCAGATCGCTTGGCATCGAACCCCCGCGATACACCTCAACACAACCACCAACTGACTGACAGCCCCCGAGCCATGAAACACCATCAACTAAACCGGAAACATCCACATACACTACCGCTTTACCCTCGTCGCAAACTCCTTCCCTCCAACCGCATCCGTCTCCACGGCCGAATGATCCTCACCCACCTCGAAACACCGCTCCCGCCCCTCGTATCGAAACCTCACCTTCCCATCCTCCCCTCCGTGCATCTGAAACCCATTATCATCCTCCTCATGCGGATGAAGCGCCATCCAGAACCCCTCCTTCCTCCCGCCACACCGCTTCACAACCACCGGCCTATGCCCTCAAATCTGTCCACTTCCCACGTGAACACATCAAGAACAGAACAATCAGGGTCACACATGTACTCTCAAAGAGCATGCTGGCTGACCAACCAACGAAACCAATGAGCAAGCAACTGTTTCTTCACCTCAAAACAGCGCTGAGCATTGTACCCATCCCCCACTGTTTCGCTAAAGAACTGAATCCTCCGCACACTAATAGTGCGGCGGAGCAGAAGGCGTGTCATGACGCACAAAAAGTGGCGATCAAAACAGATGTCCCGGCACATATTGCGAGCGAACAGAAGGCCTGCCATAACGCAACCTGTCCAGCTGGACAGGTGGACACGACTGACAACGCCAGCGGATGCGGCGGCGAGGGTCCCTTAGCGTTAGGACCAGAAGCACAGAAAGTAAAAAGGGGGAGGGGGATCGTGAGTCATCACATTTGTGTGGGATTGAAAATCGTTGATGTCATGGTAGATTTTTTCCGTCACAAAATTA